ATATTTGGTATTTGAACACAACGTGTGTGTTGCCAAACTTCACAGATATCACAAACATACCATTCTCTCCCCATCACCATATTTAGTTCCACAACCACAATCCACCACAAAATTACTCATGAATCCTGACGATGTCTCGTTGTCCTTCGATGTCCTCAAACGTGATTTTATCGCCCGATCTCACCATCCTGAAAACCAAATCCATTCCTTTCGGATTAAAATTTGTAATTGATTCTGCGACGAAATTTCTCAATCCCAAATATATTTCTCTAAATGTCTTTTGTACTTCAAACTTAAGCTTGTCAAATGTGGCATTGTTCCCCAATACGAAACACATATGGTGTCACTGCCTTTACTGACGACAATGCTTCTCCATCACAACTAGACTAAATTACGGCACAATATAGCTTTGATTTATTTACCACAGATTTTGAGCAAAACTCCCTACCATATTCTTTGAAATAGTATTTGGTATCAAGAATAATTCTTGAAGCTACAGATATAGTGTCAAATTCTCCAGTATTAGTCATTTCCTTGTGCTCTGTAAGGATATTTTTGTACGAGTATATCCTTCAATTTCAAAAGTTGAACCCAAGTAACTCTTTGCTGAGGCTTCAATTTCGCTTCATTATTCATCATCAAGAGCTCTTCTTGTTTGGGAAACTCAGGCGAAATATCATCCAAACAGTCTTCCAAAACTTTTGTTACAGGATTTAAGCTGCAAGGAACGAGATACTTACCCACTACGTGGTTTCCTAATGACTTGAGAACAAAATCCAATAAACCTGTGTCACCAATGTAAGGTGCACGTCGTAGCGCATGAAGAACCCTAGAAACCCACCTTAATTCGGCTCTCTTTATAGCTTGAATCACTACTTGGATCGCCTTTTCAACGCACTTAGGGGACCATCTACAAGATGTGTCTGACAACATGAGTCCTGGATGCTGGGAACTATACGAGTTATTGCCGTCCTTTGGTAATTGAAATTTTAACTCTAACATGAAATGAAGCAAATCACCTAAGGTTACCAAAGAATGTCTTGATAATATCTGATACCTTGATACTAAAATCAGTATATCGTTTTTCCAACCATTGAGGTGATGAGCAAGTAAGCCTAGTGGCATGTTTTGTAAGGCCTTAACCGCGCTTTCATATATCTCTATATAATGCCAAAGCTTCCATGACCGAATACGTAGTCCCAACGACCAAACCAAGGCTTACCATAGGCCACAGCATGAAGTAGGCTTAGATCCATGCCTTTCTTCTGTGATATATCCTTAAACCTCGCTTTCCTCCAACATGAGGAGCGTGTTAAAGACAGAATCGAAATAAATTAAGGTATTAGATGAACTAGTTCAACTATGTACAAACATCGCTCCTAATCCAGTGCAAAGACGATCCCAAAATTCCATGAATTGGTAACCAGCCAAGTCCGAGCCCATCTCCAACCCATTAATGCACAGTAAATGACCAAATCCATTAGTGTGAAAGGCACCATGCATGGTATACCCTTGTAATCCTATCAAATTCGACATGCACGCTGAATCTGTGTTGTCGTGGCTCAAACGCTGGAACTGTGTTCTTGGATGGCAACAAAAAATGATACTTTATGTTGCAAATCATGTGCTGTCCCCAACCTGAGCTACATTTGAATCAATACTAGGGAAGTTATACATAGATTAAAACATAAACCAAAGA